ATGACGTCACTACGGCAAGGCTCTACCCTGAGATGTATTCTTCTATGTTTTATTTTATTAATCATAGTTTACATAGTTTTAAAGATAATGACATCTATATGTTTGTTTGTTAAAATGTGTATGTTACATCTGTCTGTTAAAATTGGCTAGTATAGCTGTGGTTGCTGTATATAAACTCTGTTCTGGTTTTATTTCCCATATGCCCGACACTTGTAGTCCGCCTCAGTTATATCCAGGAGCTGCTGTGCAAGCATTGCTCTTCCCACCCCTCCCCTTCTCTGGCCTTGCTACTTTTAGCTGGCATCTACACTCACTCTGGGTTCAATAGGCAAAAAAGCCCACACACTGCCAACATGACATGCTCCCAAAGATTGACTGCCAGTGAATGTCAGGTCCAGCTAGGACAGATAGACAAATGCTAACAAAGGGGGAGGATCTAGTGGTGACGTCACTGACAAAATGTGGTCATATCGATATCTTTACCTCTATATTCTTCCCTTTGTTAAATATCATTGTTTGATCTGATATTCACTGGCAGCCAGTCATTGGGAGGGCATTGGACCAGCAGTTGGTGGGATTTTTTCTTTTGGTGTATCAGTAGGTGTCAGGCATTGGGACTGAGGTTGAACTACATCACTGGATGACATGACTGATGGTGGATTTACATAATAGGATTTAAAAAAAATAATAATAAAGGACTTGTCAAATTGTTTGTGTGTTTATTTACTTTTTCTTGTGAATGAGGAGGGCTACTATGTACCCCTTACTCATTCAATCAGGGAAGGGAACAAATATTTTGGCCCCCCCCCAAGCTTCAAGATTCTAATAAGCATCCCGACTGCAGATCCCCACAACCAACAGGTAAGGGATGTGGGGAAGGGGCTCTTATCATCAACATTGAAGCAAGGTGCCAGAGGAGGCCCCTAAAATACCTGCAGAGCTGTCAGTGCTGCTTCATGTTGCTGTTATTCTGCCTATCAGATCTATCAGATAGACAGCCCAACAACTAACTGAGGGAGCTCACAGGGCAGGCTGATGCAACAGTACAGCTGTTTAAGATACCATGGCTTACCTATGTCAGCCTGCAAAAGGATGTGCTATTACTGGCAGGATCTCCAGGTATGGAACTCTGCAACACTTGTCACAAAAAAGTATTTGCTTATGAAAAGCTATATACAGTGAGGCATAATTCCAAACATACTAAAAAAACTAATTTAGGGCTTACATAAAATGAAATCTGTTTGGCGGGAGCAGCAATTTTAGTAACGCTTGAAGGGTATTTTCACTTTTTCAGCCAAATTGGTTTATTCCTTTCTTTTAAATAGAGCAGTGTACAACATAGTAAATGGGGGTATAATGTACAGCATAACATATATTGCCTAAGGAAATAGCAGTATAATGTACAACATATCATATACAGTGTATAATATAGTAAATGCAGGGCATATACAAGATAAGCTAGATTTCCAGGATCAGAAACCAGTGCAGACATGCTTGCAGTAATTAGCGTGCACACTTGGCACCCAGCACCCTACTTAAATTCACTTGTCTCTGAGATAAGTTGCTGAATTATCTTCAGCTTGTTGCTGTGTTCCTATGTCCTGACCTACTGTATATACAGTACCTATCTGTGTATGACTCAGCTTCACCCTGGATGTTGCCTCTGCCTGCTCCTTCAAAACCTGCTCCTCTGGTTCCCCTTGACCTCAGCCTAATAACTGCACTCTACTTTGCCTGCTGATTCTGTACTGTTTTGTCTGACTGCTACTGACCTTGGCTTGGCTTCCTAGACTATCTCTGGCTACCAGTTCCATCCTGACTGACTGTTTCTGACTTCTCTCTGCTTCCCAGCTCCTGCTACCACCTCCTGTCCTGGTGCTATGCTGTTTCTGCATCCTGTCCTGAGGACTGTGACTTCCAGCTCTACCCACTTAAAGTGCAGACACCACCAGCCAGACACTTTGGCACTCATGCCACTCCATGTCTTCACACTCTCTGTCTCCACCTTCAGGAGTGTTGGGCAGGAGCTGCAAGAGAGGACCCTGGTAGCCTTGTGATAGTAGGGGTCAGGAGAATAATGTACAACATAGTATGCACATTGTACAACATACTGAATATACTGCAAACATCAGAATAATGTACAACATTATGGTGAGGTATATATACGTTATTTTGCAGTTTGGGGTCGGTCTTGTTTTGTTTATAGCGCAAATAATAAAAAACGCACAAGTCAAATACCACCAAAAGAAAGCTCTATTTGTGGTAAAAAAGGACATAAATTTAATTTGGGTGCTGTGCAATTGTCAGTTAAAGTAACACAGTGCCGTATAGCAAAAAATGGCCAGGTCAGGAAAGGGGGTAAATCCTCTGGAGGGCAAGTGGTTACATTTAAAGAGATCCTCTCATCAATTTTACATCCAAAATGGAGATACCCATTACCAGGCTCGGGGCTTTAGGATGTCTACATAAGGTAGCCTTTTTTTACATGCATACAATATTGTAAATTCACATTTAATATTATAGACATTTTTTCTGAAATTAATGGTCTGATGACAGTTCTTTTTTTAACTTTAATTGCTGTGCGAACTGTGGATGCTTAGACATAGAAACAGTAAAAGAAGGCTCTTGGCATTACAATATGTATTGTACTTTTGAAAGCATTACCAGGCTGTTAACAACAATTGAATGCATGGCAATTGTTTTTTAAAGGATCTCAAACATTATTAACAGTCAGTATGTTACTTATCAGTTACTTAAAAAAAAAATACTTTGCATGGTGTGTCATCTGTTTTCATCAAAATAATGTCTAAGATAAGGTTTTACTTGCCATCAATTCATAAAAATGAACATTTTGCAGTAAAGCTTAGTTTTTGCATCCAGGGCACTGCTTTTTTTTTTTTTGCATTCTCTGGCAGACAGATGGTCACAGAACACTTGTGTAACAGTGAATCACAAGATACCTCAGAGTAATCAGTTTTTTAAAACCTAGTAAGAGTGCTGAGGTTTAAATTAGATTTTTGCCAGCAGCTAATTAGCCGTTCCTTTTTTTAATTACAGGTTACAGGAACAGATCTGCTGACAGTAATTATTTGAGTTTGAAGGGGGAAGAAAAGGTTATAGGAAATATTGATTTTATTTTACCATGAAGCATTATCTGTTCAGGTGGGCAGCTCAATATGCACATCTGCCACAGTATACCATATGATCTTCCGCAGTGTAAAATATAACACATGGCGTTCTAGATGATCTTGGGTAGAATTATATAAAGTGAAACTCCAAGCAGAGATTAGATTGAAGATGCTGATTACCAGTGCCCCAGTATTTGTATTACTTTGGCCTTTTATATCATGTTTTTCCATTTTGCTCTTGTTAGTGTTGTCTACTGGCAACTGGGATTTAGTAAGCTGGACAATGGGAAATTGTGAAGGAAATTCTTCAGACTAGTGTCTGAAGTGCTTAGCCAAAATGCCTGGTCTGAACTTTTTCCCTTCAATAATAATCTTACCATCAACATGCCCAGTATAATAGCAGGAAAAGCCTCTAGATTAAACATTTGGAAAATAACACTAACAAACAAATCCAACATGGTGCTTTAGGCCCAATAAAAAAAAGGTGAAATTGGGAAATCAGGGTCAAAGATTTCCCCACCATGTTAGGGATTTTGTGAAGATAGCAGATAATTTAACCGCAATTTTCAAAATATATTGAAATATCTGCAGAAAATATCTGCTCATTGGACTGATCACCTAAAGCTGCATATCAGACAATCAACTGAATACATAGATGAAAGACGTATGAGGGAACTGTTTTACCTGTGAAAAGGTTTGTATTCATATCTGTGCACTTCTTAAATTTACACAGCTTTGCCACTCAACCCTGAGACATGATTTTTCTCTGCTTTAGCTCAGTAACACTTACAGGTCACCTCCATACCGCCACTCTGATTTGACAGTGAAAAGAGAAATAGCAGGGGGCGTATCTGAAGAGGATAATCACACAGCTCTGTTGTACTCACAGTGCCAGCACACAGCAGCAGCGGCCCTGACACTCCAAAAGCGACCAGAGGAGAAGCAACAACCCAGTGACCCTCAGGGAGAATTCAAAGAAGAGGAAAGCTGAGAGGAAACTCCTGAAATTAACAGAGTTTCCCCCTCGGCCAGATCACAGCAATCCACAACATAGCAGCAGCAGCTCAGGATCCTCTCTCACTCAGCACACAAGCAAGTCTCTGCAGCTTCTCCTGTGACACCTTTAAAGCAGAAAAATAGCTCTATCTTAATGCAGCCTGTCTCCCCTGCTTTCTCTACTTCCTCTATTGAGAGCCCAGCAAAATCTAAACCTAGAATGACAGATATTAAACTCACAGCATGCTGTAACAGATTCTCACACTAATACTTCACATTCTGCAAGTCATTTCTCAGATTTCCTACTACTAGTCAGGCTATTTCTGATACATTAACCTAACTAGCGGTCTGATTATTTCCATATTTCTGTGCTCAAAGCAGTACATTTTTTTGCATGGAAATATGTATTTTTTTTATTGTAGGCCTGTAATTTTTAGGAATAACTCACTGAAATCTGTCCGAACAAGAGTCTAGTAAACATCCCAGGTATGTTAAAATTTGAAACACGAAATCATAAATTATAATTTAATAAATAATCATAAAAAATAGTATTATAATAATAATAATACATTTAATTCAATAATATAATCAAACCAAAAACACTGAATTTTGAAATATAGCGCCAAGTTCGCACATCACTGAGCAAAGTCGCAAAATTGCAAAATCATTTTCAGTATCTGATGATGAATTTCCCCACGAATCATTATCACTCAATTCTTCAAGTAGTTCTAATATACTATCGCTGTTCTCTAGCTGGTCTAAAACCAATTTTGACCTAAAGGGATGCTTTTTGGATGCCATGGACGTTTCTCAGTTTCCAGGCAGAAAGAACAGTAAAAATGTAGGCAGGGCACAGGACAAAGCACTAGGGACAAAATGTATGTGAAATGCTTTGATACAGTAATGTTTTACTATGTTATTTTAGTGAATTTAGTGAATGTCACTTTTTGTAATTTTCTCGCCGGTTCGTCCCCATACGTCCCGACATCGCAAGGGACAGAACCCAGAAGACAGATGCCGGAATCTCCCGGAGGACATTACAGGGGACACTGCAGGAGGGACATCGCAAGAGTACAGGACAAGGTAAGAGAAGAACAGATCCCGGAGCAGCTCCGCATGGTAAGCCCGAGTGTAGCTCAGGGTTACCGCTTGTGGTACTGAAACTTTACCCTGAGCTACACTTGGGAATACCGCCAGGGAGGTTAATGAAGAAGATGCTCATTTCATTAAGATCATCCATACAGTTAGATATCATTAACTCTGTGCAAAAAATCAAATCAGAGATTAATGATCTTGGCAACAAAGTTGACCATGTTGAAACAAAAATGGGAAAATACGCCACTTCCTTTAACACCCTAGTAGACGCCCACAAGGAAAGAGATGAAGAAATTGAATGGCTCAAAAATAAAGTTGCAGATCTGGAGGATAGATCAGGACGTAACAACATTAAAATAAGGCATTCCAGAATCGATACAACCTGACCAATTGAGAGCATATTCCCAAGAGTTCTTTCGTGCCCTCCTACCTGATGCTTCCAAAAAACTACTCAATGGCAGAAGTCCGGGACCAGATGGATTTTCCAGCAAATACTATAAAATTTTCAAAAATACCCCGAGTCCTCATCTAAACCAACTATACACTGATGCGTTTTCTTCCGCCTCATTGCCTTCCAAAATGCTACAAGCATTATTTGTAACAATACCAAAATCAGGTAAAGATCTAGATAACCCACACAATTTCAGGCCTATTTCTTTATTAAATACCGATATTAAGATCTATGCTAAAATTATAGTGTGCAGACTGGCCAATATACTCCCAGATTTGATCAAACCTGATCAGTTAGGCTTTAGTAAAGGTAGACAAACATCTGACCCAACCCAGAGGCTAATCAACATAATTCATTACGCAGACTCACATAAAATTCCCTCCGTATTACTTGCTCTGGACGCCTAAAAGGCTTTTGATAGGATACATTGGACATACATGTTCCAAGTACTTCATAAATTTGGATTTTCAAGAACAATTATTAATGCTATTTCAGCACTTTACTCAAATCCTTCCTCAATGCATCTAACATGCTATCCAAACCATTCTTAATTACGAATGGTACCAGACAAGGATGCCCATTGTCGCCACTAATTTTTAATCTATCAATTGAACCTCTTGCTGAAACTATAAGAAACAATCCAGATATACATGGCTTCTATATAGGTAAAAACCACCACAAAATATTGCTCTTTGCGGATTACATAATTTTAATGCTAACTAATCTCTATACTTCTTTAGCAGCAACTCAACAAAATATCATACAATTCAGTAATATTTCATATTATAAAATAAATGCATCCAAATCTAATATCCTAAATCTAGGTGTAGATCACATTCTAAAAATGCACCTCCAAAAAAATTTCCCTAAATCTGGGAAAATGAAGCCATTCCTTATCTTGGAATATTGTTGACAAACAAAACCTTTGACCTAGGAACTCTCAATTATTCTAAATTCATTAAAAACGTTCAAACCCACCTTAATATAATGTCTAAACATAAACTATCCTGGTCTGGCAGACTGGCCGCATTTAAAATTTTCATTTTGCCACAGATTTTATATCTATTTAGATCAATTCCAATCCCAATTAAATCTTCATATCTAACAAAACTACAATCTATCCTTAAAAAATATGTCTGGGGAAATATGAGACCTAGATGCTCACATAATATATTAATCAAACACAAAACATATAGGAGGAATGGGATTTGTTGACATTAGGGACTATCACAAAGCATCATTATTAGACCAACTTAAACATTGGTTTATATTGGAAGATGATACAAAATGGGGTGACATTGAAAAAACTCTAGCCTCTACTACAGATTTAAGAGCCATACTACTAGCGAGCTCATGGCAAAGGATTCCCACTAGTAAAACAACATCAACTATATGAGCCTCAGTTGAAGCCTGGAAATCCTTAAGCTCCATGCCTATAGAGCCTCTCCGAATTAGTCCTCTTCCTATACCAGCTTTAGAAGTCATAATGCCTAGCATAGATATCTCAAATTGGAAACATAATGACATATGCACAATACAACATATTTGTGTTAAAAAAGACAAAGAATTTTGAATTCCTTATAAAAGAATTTAACCTCCACCCTTCTGAAAAATCAACCTATACACGCATCAGTCATTGCCTATCGAAACATCCAGTAAAAACAATATATATCCCCAAAGTATCTTTACTACTCCTAAATCAGGTGGTATAGCCCTATTTTATAACCTTCTACAATGTAAATAAGAATTTATTAAGACTACTCCCTTAATCAAGTGGGAAAAAGACTTAGAGACTGAAATCTCTAATGAGTAGTGGGAATATGCATTCGAGAATGTGTTTTCAGCTACTAGATGTGTTAACCTTTGAGAGCTAAAGCATAAAATTTCCACAAGATGGTATCTAACTTCTTGCCAAATGTCCAATTCTCAGAACAACATAGTCCTCAATAGTGGAGAAACTGCAGTCAGATTGGTACTCTATTACATATATTATGGACATGTAAAAATATTAGAAGCTATTGGTATAAAGTCTTCCACATGATATCAGAATTTACTGGGATATTAAAACAACCAGATCCTACCCTAGCCATTCTGAATATAAATATAGATACATATCCAGTCCATAATCGACTATTAGTGACACATATTCTTCTAGCATCAAGACTTACCATTACTAGATACTGGAAAAAAGACTTAGCCCAGCCTCTAAAAGAAGTCATTGAGCTAGTTCAGACCCACTTCATCTATGAGAAATCTTTAGCTTACGTAATCAATAGAATTACTAAATTTGACAAAGCTTGGAAACCCTGGTCCAAGTGGTTCGGAATTGTAACCTAAAATATTATTATGTTTAACCTTTTTTTGGATACTCTGAAATGATTATTTCGTGGAACTAGTAGGACTTTTAGGAATTATTCAATATTTCCTTTTTTCTCTTCGTTAAACTTTACCGCAACACCTATACTGTGATATTGTGTAGCTTTTCACTGTCCTATTTTTGTTTTTTTGTAACATATGAAATATGTAAAACATATAACATCAAATACTGTCCATAAATAAAATCTTTGTACTATTCTATCACCCACACCAATAAAAATATACTGCTATTTTAGGGAACCTGTTATGAGATAAATATGTAGACTACTATTGTAGCTGTGCTGGTAATGCCATGCTATGTTTACCAAGTAATTATAGACCTGTTAGATTAACATCTATAGTTGGGAAAATACTGGAGAGTTCAGTAAAAGACCACATAGATGAGTTCTTGCTGGAAAAAAAATATTTTAAGCAAAAGACAGCATGGATTCATGAAAGACAGAAGTTGTGAAAGAAATCTGATTTCTTTTTATGAGGAGGTGAGCATAACCTTGGACAGAGGGGTGGCGGTGGACGTGGTATACTTGGATTTTGCAAAAGTATTTGACACAGTTCCCCGCACACGGCTAATGTGTAAGGTAAAGTCTACAGGCTTGGAAAAATCTGTATGTAAATGGGTAGAAAACTGGCTAAAACATCGTATTCAGAGAGTAACAGTTAATGACTCATACTCTGAATAGTCTAGGGTTGTTAGTGGTGTACCCCAAGGTTCAGTGTTGGGACTCTTACTTTGTAATATATTTATAAATGATATAGGGTCTGGGATTTAAAAATACCATTTCAGTCTTTGCAGATGACACTAAGCTTTGCAGTGGAATAATGTCCTTACAGGATGTCTCCAACTTACAAGTCAACCTCAATGCTCTGTTTAATTGGGCAACTATGTGGAAAATGAGGTTTAATGTTGATAAATGTAAGGTTATGCACTTGGGGGCTAAGAATATGCATGCATCATACATGCTAGGGGGAGTACAATTGGGGAATCAATGGTGGAGAAGGATCTAGGGGTTCTGGTAGATCACAATCTTAATAATGGCATGCAATGCCAGGCTGCGGTTTCTAAAGCAAACAAAATCCTCTCTTGTATTAAAAGAGATATAGACTCCAGAGAGAGATATCATATTACCCCTGTACAAATCATTAGTAAGACCTCATCTGGAATATGCAGTTCAGTTTTGGGCACCAATTCACAAAAGGAACATTGAGGAACTGGAGAAAAGTACAGATAAGGGCAACCAAACTGATAAGAGGCATGGAGGAGCTCAGCTATAAGGAAAGATTAGAGGAACGGAATTTATTCTCTCTTTAGAAGAGGAGATTAAGGGGGGATATGATCAACATGTATAAATACATCAGTGGTTCATATAGTGTACTCGGTGTAGTTATTCACCTTGAGGTAATCACAGAGGACAAAGGGGCACTCTTCACATCTGGAGGAAAATAAATTTAATCTCCAAATATGGAAAGGTTTCTTCACAGTAAGAGCTGTGAAAATGTGGCATAGACTCCCGCAAGAGTTGGTTCTGGCCAGCTCAGTGGATTGCTTTAAAAAAGTCCTGGATACTTTCCAAGATACACATAATATAACTGGATACTAACATTTATAGGTAAAGTTGATCCAGGGAATATCCGATTGCCTCTCAGGGGATCAGGAAGGAATGTTTCCCCTGCAGGAGCAAATTGGATCATGCTTTGCTGAGTTTTTTGCCTTCCTCTGGATCAACTGTGGGTGTAGGATTATAACTTTTTTTTTATGGTTGAACTGAATAGATGTTTGTCTTTTTTCAGTCAGACTAACTATGTAACTATATGTTACTATGCTGACCCTCATGTTTTGCTTGTTGCTCTCTTTCTGGAGAGGAGTGGAAACTTCCTGTCCCATCAACTTTCCTTAAAGAATAGTAAGAACAATCTTACTAAAATAGAACTTTGAACAAAAATCATGATATCAGGAGCTCAATTTTATCACCCACAACCCATAACTGCAAAATTCTCCATGTGCACAATACATCATCCTTACCTCCTCCTAAATTACAATATAACATAATAGAGGATGAATTTTCTGCCATTTCTTCTTACAATTATAAAAAAAAAATATTGGGCAATTGTTTTTGCCAAGTAAGATCCTAATAAGATATTTTAATTTAGACGTTATGTGATTTTCTGCCATGTTCCTTCAGGGCATTTGCATCTTGACCTAATTTCTTTCATGTAAGGCAGTTAATGGCCTTGTAATTTGGTGGAAGTATTTAGCTTTTTTGCTTACTTCTCTGTTTTCAGA